GTTTCTTCACAAATCACCATTTCCTGGTACCAGTTTGAAAATGATACTACATAAATCTCCGGTTTACACAGGAAACAAGACAATACACTTGCAACAGCACAGCAAGCAAACAGAAAAATCTGTTCTAATTTCCTTTTTCATGTAATTATATGTAATGATGTCTTTCAGCATTTCTCTTACTTATACTAGTTAAAACTATGTGGTGACATTTGACCTACTTACAAAAAAAATTGAGTTTGAATGCGTCCTTAAGAGGAAATTCTGACCCAGGATGTTCAGTGGTCTATAAATCTTGGATTGTAGAAAAGTGTATTACATAACTCAGTGCATGTACACTAATCAGTATATTAGCCGAAACCACCATTATCAAACAAGGGCCAAGGGGTGGTGTTGCCTGCCCTAGTATTTCTGACAAGACTTAAACAGAGCATGGTTTGTGTATTAAAGGTGTCACCTGTCAGGAGAATCATAAGTACTTCACTGTGAAACAACTTAAGGCCACATTCACAACCCATTGATCCATGAACCAACTAGTCCACAGATCAAATATGGCAATGAATTCCCATCTCCCACATGTGCTCTGTAGGGGGAGAGCATTAAAACTTCCACATCCCTTCAAGTGGGATGCGCCATATTTGATCCGTGGAATAGTTTGTCCACAGGTCAACTGGTTCTGAGTCCTCCCCAAAGTCAAGGCCATCTTTATGTAACTGTTAATTGACTGCTGCAAAATCTTGCCCCCCCCCCCCCCCCCAAGACAGCCGTGAAGTGGAATCATTTGAAGGACACAGTCACATGTACAGATAAGATGTAAGCATCTACGATTCACCTCTGTGGATTAAAACTTTCAAACCAAAGATAGCATGTGCAAATCACGTACATAAAAACAATAAATTAAGTAAACATCTCATTCACAAACATGTGTAAACATATAAACTTAGCCGTGCACAATAAGTTGAGGTTCGGGTCTTGTTATAGATCTTTCCTGGTTACAGTAATAATGGGTATGGGAATGCACACATTGTGCATAATGCTCCATGATATGTATTAACATTACAACAATGAGTAGCACACTTTAGTAGTGTCTGTCATCAATGATTCAAACAACTGCAGTTAAATTATCAAAGGCTCTACATCAATTTCTTTGCATGTCCTGTCTTCGTCAGGAAACCACAGATAAGTTGTATTAATATTAAGAGCGATCGCCGGCGGATCTCGACCATGTCTTGATGACCTTACCTTTCAAAAGGAGAAAAGAACTCGACTCGATCTTCAAAAGAGGGAAAATATTCATGGAATAAAAGATGCTCACCTTCATCTTGCCATAGACTCGTCAACGTGGTGTTGGCTGTGGTCATATTCCAGTCTTGACGGAAGGATCGCAACCTCGAGGTTAAAAATCCTGCGGTTTTTGGTCAGTCGATCAAGTTTAAATACCAAGTAAATTTATCAAAATGGCGTCCATTCAACAACACGAGTTTCAGTCGCTACCGGCCACTTTCAAAGGCTCGATCGTCTTCAGTATTTCCCTGGCAACGGCAACACTTTGCAGTTTCAAGCTTCATTGGATACACTCATGCCGTGAATCGTGGTTAACTTGCAACGATGTCTAATAACGACGAATCTTTTGTTTAAATGTGAAGAATAATCGACCGAGAGAGGCCGAAAACGAGCTTGGCGGTGACAATGTGTTCACTGTATTCATTGGCTGATGCGAGTCACATGGCTTTCATGTGAGCATGCGTACATGCCTGCATGCCTCACTTTTGTTTATTTATTTACACTGCGCTAAGAAACCCGTTTTTTTCTGGGAAATATGCGAGTAACAATATCTTTGAGATGCAATGTATGCAAAGTATTGTTGCAAGTTTGGCCTTAACATACGATAGCATTTTTTAAAAAATTCGATGTGTCTTTTAACTGTTCTCAAGAAGAGCACGAGACCCCCAGGTCCCTGGGAGAGGTCACCCACCTGGCCGCGATTTTTTCACCCAATCCTTATATTAAATTAAATTTTTACTGTATTATAAATTCGAAATCGGGAAGGTCAAAAGGTGTGCTCATACTAATTTCATTGGAAAATTTTCTCTAAATATATATATATATTTTTTCCTATTATTATTTTGAGGCGAATTGAAATCCAAAACGTGTCCCAGAGAGGCCTACCAGGCTATCCTGTGAAAGGAATTACATAAATCAAGTTACTTGCATATGCTTAAATTCTTTAATGTTGGGGCTATGACTTGAACAATTAGTTACGTCTATACTTGAATATTGAAAAAAAAACCTATCGATGATTTTTTTCTAAATAGTAGGGGCCTACGTGTTTGCATTAAATCTTTTAGGCTACCAATCCAAGCGAAATAGCCATGCAATGTCAACAGCCTTGAAATGTCCAAAGGTCTACTGGTAAGCAGACGTAATTCAGTTTTTGACGGAATTCCTCTGAAACTAATGCTTTTTTTTCAGTGTACCACGAGTTTCAGAATACTGAAGGCGCTTTATTTCTTCCTGGCAAAGTGACTGATACTTCTCGTCACCGTCTCAGCACTGGATACACAGGCTATTTGTTTTTTCTTAATATACAGGTGAATTTCCACGAGACATCAAACCAAAGGTGACTGGGCAGAGAGCAGCTAAGATCGTGGGTCCTGTAATGTTTTTGAAACACCTTATAACCTCGTGGTCTTGTAGGCTTTATAAAATGATTTTGTTTTTCTATGGTTATCTTAAAGGGTTAACAACTCTTCGTATGAGATCTATATTTCACAATAAATACACTGTAAACAACGTACAGAAATATAATAAATTCCATTTTACCACCAAAACGGCGGTTATCGCAATTATTCTGAAATTTCTGCATTAACTTAGAATATCGGAACGGATTTATTTACCTTTGGTAAGTATGGGGAAATTGTTGTTTACCCCTGGAAAATACATTTTGCCTATAATGAACAATTGTTATCCCTTTAATTACATTAACAATGCCTAAAGCAAATTTGGTCTCAAAATAAAATGCTACCTATTGTTGAAAAAGTTCTTGTCCATTAAACAAACCTTACAAATATAAAATTTCAGCTAGTGACTGATGTTAGCAATCTCTCATATATTATCTATTGCTGAACGATTTTCTAAATAAGCCGAATCAAAAATAGCCTTATCTATTGCGGAAATGGGTTCGGCCTGCAAAATGTGTTGTTTTTTTTTTTAATGAAATATATGCCCTGGTTGCTCCTCAAATAAAAACGCTTCAAATCAGAGATAAAATGCGTTAGGTGAGAATTGGCCGGGGCGCAACAAACACATCTTAATTTTTTTTAGACAGTAAATACATAGAATCAAAGACGGCCTCTTTATTTCGGAAACCGTAAAGAAACAAATATGTTTGGGCTCTAACAGATCCTTGGATAAAATAACAGCAATGTCAGTTTATACCCTTATGGACTCCCGGCCTCCCATACGTGCATACAGCAAATATTTGAAAGAGCAAATGTCATTGAAGGGGTCTCTGCAGGGGCACAGCAATAAAATCTCGGTTCCACTTCGAGATAAATCTGTTGATGGAGGCGTGGAAATGAATTTAACAACTGCACTTTATAATCTCAGGAAGTAATCTATATAGCAATAGCAGATCAGCCAAAGTCTTCATTGCACGTTTTTCTCCAACGATCTGTTCTACAGCGAACTGTTGACAACTGACAGGTGTTAGTAACACCTTAGGGTAGTAGGAAGATAGTGGCCGTAGTTTGATTAAACTGTTAAAATTATATTTCGAAGGCATTTCTAGCCCTTGGCCATATATATATATATATATATATATATATATATATATATATATATATATATATATATATATATATATATATATATATATAATTTTCTTTTTGAGTTTGCATGTCCTTTGTTTAGTTATTATTCACGCGAAGTGCATTTTCCGTTCTTTCTCTTTTGCCCTCCTTTGCTCTCTCTCTCTCTCTCTTTTCTCTCTCTCTCTCTACTAATAATAACGTTACAGGCCACCGCACTTACCTAACCGCACCGTCACATGCCTGTATCACACCCTGCACTGAACAGTTCTCATTTCACAGTACATATAAGGCTTTCTCTCTATTTCTTTTTGTTCACTTCACTTTCGTACACGGAACGGGACAGGGAAACCTCGAACGACGCAGTGTATTAGCTCACTTAGTCGGAGGACAAGGTAAATTATTTCGACACTAACGTAAGCTTCTTCGGCTTTGGGTCTTTACAATGTTTCTGTCTTTCCATTTATAACGACATTAGCACATAAAGTCGGGGGCAAGGCAAACTTTTTTAACGTTACCGTAAACTTCTCCTGCTTTATGTCATTTCAACGTTTCTGTCTAGCCTTTTTCTATCGTTTTTCTATCTTTGTCTTTCGTGTGTACTTCGTGTATTTTAAGTATAATTTTTATGTTATTTTTCTTGTATTTTAATTTGGTTGTCTTTACATTTTACGTTACACTTTGTTACTAAACTCGGAAACAGAAATGGAAGACGTCGAGAGAGTGGATGATCTCGGACTGACATACTTTTGTCACTATAGAATGTTAACAGAAAGCTGATGTTGTTTGCCTCACATGTGCAGATAGGAAACCTCGACCTATGGTTTTGTACTGTAGTAAATGTCACGCCATCAAACACGACCAACAGGTACCCCAGGCCCGTAGCCGGGGGGGGGGGGGGGTTCGGGGGGTTCGAAAGAACACCCCTTTTTGCTGGAAAAAGGTCCACTCTGGGTAAAATTTGACCTAGGTACATGGGGATTATATGGTAAAAGGTCCACTTTTTCAGAAAAAGAACCCCCCCTTTGAAATTGCTGGCTACGGGCCTGCNTATATGGTAAAAGGTCCACTTTTTCAGAAAAAGAACCCCCCCCCTTTGAAATTGCTGGCTACAGGCCTGTACCCTCTACCAGGGGGACTGATAGATTTTTACGGATATTCACAGATATGTCTCTAGCTAGATAGATTGTCATTTTCAACTGAAGTCACACTTAATATTTCTCAGGTAGCTTCCGCATGGCGAACGTTTTTAGTCAGAACCACATTGGACATGCTTATCTGATGCGGGCTACAAGAATTAATAAAATTAATAGAGGGTCTACATTGGCCCATAGACTATTGAGCTATCATCTTCCATTAAATATTGTATGCAACGAGAGAGAGAGAGAGAGAGAGAGAGAGAGGGGGCGGGGGTCCCCAATACCTGGGTCGAAGAGTCTTTGGACCGTTCTTAAAAATAATTTCAAATTTGATGTTAAGTAGGTGTTAAGTAGGTGCATTACACATTAACTTCTTTAATTTCAGGATACGTGTTCCTTGGGAAACTGCAACTCTGCCACAGAGATATTATGCCTCTACTGCTCATTCAGCCTAAACCCAAAGCTTTGCGACATTTGTTTACAAAATCTGCACAAGAAATTGGTCCAAATTAATTCCATACCTTTAGAGGCATTCTATGACATCGCTCCGACAACATCGATCAACTTGGAATTGGTAAATGCAAAATTCCAGTGCCGGTGTGTTGTGCCCTCCTGTTAAAGATTTGCTTGAATAATGTGCACTGAATGCGTAACACGTTGCATTCTACTGCTGTGCAACACATGTAACAAGCAAGTGCACATAGGTGACAGGGCTGGTCACCACAGGGTTGACCTCTCTCACCTGATGGGCAATCAGACAGCAGTGTCAGACGAGCTGCATCAAGAAAAAGACAAAAATATAAAAGATTATTGTGGAATATGCTATTCCAAAGCAGTTAACTTATGTTTGGATTGTGAGCATAAACTGTGCTCAAAATTTTGTGTAGAACACTATACAAAAACACATTCACAATCAACATGCCACCAGAAGGTAAACATTTCAGAAGGAACAATAGAACCCAAAAAATACACCTGCCAGTGTAGGTTAATTGACTATTGTAAAGCCAATGCAGCTGCCGTTTGCCAGGATTGTTATCCTTCATTTGCTTTGCTGTATTGTGAAACGTGTGATGATTTAATACACAGCTTGGTTAAATCATCTACACACAGAACCATCCCACTGCAACAAGGGACATTTGACTCTGACCAAGGTGACGATGATATTATACTTCCTATTGACGAAGACGACCACGATGCATCAAGCAGCGAGGAAGCGCAATTAACGAAGCACGCTGTTGACGACACGGACAGAGAAACAGAAGAAGAAGAGGGGGAGCTACGTGGTCACGTGGTCCGATGACGACAATCGTGCAACCGGCGGAGCTGTCAAACTCAGCTGCAATTTCTACCTCTTGTGCCGTACAGGGGACTTTCCTAGTTCGGCGTGTGACTGCATAGATATAACCAGGACTGGAGGGAAATGAAATGGTAAAATATGTTACATATGAGGCTGTATCGGACACTCACTCATGACTGGAGTCAATTATTTTCATTGTCCGCGTGTGTGTGCGTGTGTGTGTGTGTGTGTGTGTGAGAGAGAGAGAGAGAGAGCGTAAAAGGTGCACTTAAGATTGAAATCGATTTCACAAAGCTACAGGTTTACAATATTTGAGATATAACAGCCGTACGTTTTGAGACAGGAACAGTCACAAATTGTGTGAACGCTTTTCTACATGAAGTCCAACCATCAACCGATAATCTGTATGTTTGATAATTGCAAACCATATCGTCACAGGCCTGTTCAACAGTAGTTAAAAGAAATAGGGCATTCCCACTTTCATGTACAATGATAAGCACGATCGGGTCATATAGTAAAGATTTGAGAGGTTTTCCCTCATGACATGGTAAAGCGGCCCAGCGCCCGATCGGACCAAACCATAGAAAGCTATAAAAGCGCGTGCACGAGGCAGGTAACCGTACAGTATCTGTTTTAAGCACGTGGCGGTAACTTTCACTCAGTCGGGATAGCAATAACATGAATGACAGCCAGACAGTGTGTTCCATGGAAAGCCGTATGTATTACTATTAATTCCATGTTAATTATTTTTTATTGGCAAAGAAATATAACGTGATTATACATGTATTAACTAAGAAAATGTCCTACTTTAAACAACGGTCACATTTCTTGAAATATTACCAAGCTATTGTCGTGTGTAAGTCGATCGTTAATATTAGCGTTCGTTCCTGCGTGTGATTGGAATGTGCATGCGCGTGCTTGTGTATGTGTAGTTCTGTATCCGTGTATAAGCATGTTTGTATTTATCTGCTTCTACATGTGTTTGTTAACTTAGGTGTGTGTGTATGCGTGTGTGCACGACTGCGTGTGTGTGTTTGATTGTGAACGGGTATGCTTGAGTGTGAGAGAGGGGGGAGGTGTAAAAGTGTTAACATTCAGCAGATCGTTGTCACAAACGTACAGATACACATTTAACTGGAAACAATCTTATGAAGTACTGTTTTAATCGACTATATCATAGAACATTCGCCATGAATACCGTTAGTGACAGATTAAATGAGTTCCCTAAAAACTCATCCAATTTAAATGGTATTTTAGCTTTCAATGATTTAGTCCGATCGGACTTACGTCTCTCGTATTGTACAGGTGGAATTCCCAATACGCTTTGATTAGTGATAGATCCATAAGCTATCATAGACTTCAATATAAATATGCACTCTCCCCATACCGATTGTCCCCTGTCGGGTGTTAACAATGCGACACCCTAGATACACCCCTTTCTCTTTGGAATGCTTCACTCTAGATAAACCCACTTTGTCTTCGGAATGATTCTAAAGAGAAAAGGTAGTAGCCTGACTCGTGCCTTTAAAGTGTATTTGGGATTCCCCCCGGCTACTATGTACGATCGGACCAAATCACCGAAAGCTTTAAAGGCATGAGTCAGGCTACCTTACCAGTTTATTGGTGGAAGTGCATGGAGGTAACATATACTATCAGCCGGTGTTGTGACAGCGTTGTTATAACATGACAGACAGTCAGACAGCGTGTTCCATGGAAAGCCGTATGTACATGTAGTACTATTTATTCTATATTTATTGTTTTTAATCTTGACAAGAGAATCCAAAGTGTTTAGATTCACCAAGGAAATGTTCGTTTTTTAAAGAAACGACTACATTAAGTGAAATATTAACAAGTTGTTAGCGATTGTTAGATTGTAATACCGACGCTGACTCCTTTGTGTGATGTGGTGTGCGTGCACGTGGTTGTGTTTGTAAGCCTTTATCTGTGTATGAATAGGTTTGTATTTATCTTCACCGTTACGTGTTTGTTTACGCGTGTGTGTGCGTGCGCGCACGGATGTGCGTGTGAGTGTGTGATTGAACGCGTCAAAGATTGATTGAAAATGTTTGCCACATGATTAGAACACAGCAAAAAATTTTTACCTTTAAGTTTTATGTCCGTCCAAATCACAGAAGGCTATGAAAGCACTCGAGGCTGATATAACTGATACACACATACCTAGTTCCAGTATTAAGCGCGGCGAGGTTACATACTCTCAACCGGTGTATTAACATGGCAGACAGTCGGACAGCGTGAACCAAGGAGAGTCGTTTGCAGTAGCCTTCTACTACCCAACTTTCACTGTTGGGTTTTATGTCTGCGGTAATTAATAGATTATATGAGATAAAAGTTCGCTACTTTCAAAATATAAAGAAATCAAGTGTGTGTTGATCATAACTGGGAGCGCTCGGAAGAATGAGTGTGTGTGTGTGTGTGTGTGTGTGTGTGTGTGTGTGTGTGAGAGAGAGAGAGAGAGAGAGAGAGAGAGAGAAAGAGAGAAATTGCAAAGGGTAAAAGCCCTATGATTCAAACGACACACGGGATAAACACGCTTCAGTACAGCATAGTGGTGCTGAAGAAAGTAACTGATCAATCCGTGGACGGTTGGGAAGTGAATTTCACAATTGCCCTTGTCCAGTGTTTACCCATTTAACTTCCAATAAATACTAGCTCTGATCATGTTGAAGGCGGCCCTTTTTCACGGTAATATTCAGGGTACAGCCGTAACATTGTGTGTTTGTATGTGTATGTGTAAGATTGAATTTAATTAAATTAAATTAACAAAAAAATATAAAAGCCCTAAAATACAGAACTAAACAAACAGGAGTACCATATATCATACGGAGTTAGATACTTCACTTTGTGAATATATCTTTTCCAGAGAACACCAACCAGATGGGTCAGACTGACCACCAAGAGACCACCACCAGACGGTCAGGAATCATCGCATACAGAGATGTGGGCACGGATATGACCAGGACTGGAGGTAGATATGGGGCGGTGGGCATATACTGATTCTGATGGATGTGGTGATTTTCTTCTGATTACCTGTTTAAATTTATCATTTATCCAGTGTTTAACTATCAAGATAAAAAACACTAGCTTTCACCCTATCTTCCCGTTTTTGTCGTCTGCAGTCATTCAGCACAAAAATACAAACTTTTTCACACCGTTGTATTATACTTGCAGGTCCCACAAGACTGAGAAGACTGATAGCTACCATGGCTGTCGACACGCAGACAGATGACTGTAAGTGTTAAATTATTGTCCCTTTTCAATTTATAAGCATACTTTCTCTATCTCTCTCCCATCTTTATTTTCTTTTTTTCAGTTTCTGTTTCACTTATTGTGTGTCTATTTGTCTGTTTGTGGTGTTGGCTCACGGTTAAAACTAAAATACTCTCAATCAAATCTAATACAGTTGTAGTATGTCAGCGCTATTCTCCTTAATTCACCGAGTCATGACAGTTTCAGAGAATTCTGGACAGAGGGGTCAGGTTGACCAACCAATCCACGCAAGACGTTGTAACAGAGGCGGGACGCCCTGTGGTGACCCTGGTCCCATGTGACCCCACTGACCAGTGTGACCCTAGACTGGACACGGGTGACAATACCAGAAAGATAAATACAGCACCTGCTGTCTGTAAATTGCCATAGCGAACAACACGATTATATAGAAACAGCTTCTAAACAGTGCTTCAAATTATGACACAAAGTTGATGTTATACATTTTTTCTTAAACATTCTGTACTGTCTAAGGTATTCTGGTTTATAGCTGTTATTGTAAAGTGATTCATGAATCATTGTGTCTCACGTACACCGAACCAGCAATAAATTGGCGGTTATACTGCGGACCTCTGCTGCTTGATGTTTTGACAGTGCGTGATTCTTTCGTCAAATTTCTCTAGGAAAATTTGCTAAGGCTGCGCATTTAGATAAATAGTATTTCAAAGGGACGTCTCCTAGTAATAAAGAATAGCTTAATAATGTCTCTGTTATATGGATTAGAAAGTAAAGGGAAACCAGCATAGATTATGTTACTTAATTTCTTTTCTTTTAGTAAATAAAGTTTTATATTCTAATTTGTTCTTGTCATTTTTACCCAAAAGTTGTCAATAACCCATGTGTCTTTTCTAGGCATTTATTTATTTATTTTATTTTAGTTTTATTAATTTATTAATAGTTTTGCATTACATTAAAATTTTGGTGGGTGGGTTGGGTCGGTAGCTTGTTTGTCATGTTTAGTAGCTACTGGCAATTGCAAGAAAATTCCACCTTTCTTACGGCGTTTTTCTTTTTTAATTTTATTAAAATCCATTAAAATCCATCTCATTCGAAAACGACCCACAGATCTTCATTATAGAACGCATAGTGCTTCAGAATTAGGCACATAACAGGTTCGGATACAGAGAAATTCTCTGACAGTCTTCCAAATTATCTTGATCTATCCTCCATTTTAAGCCGTCTTGCGACAGAAAAAATAGATACCTGTCAACGTCAACATGAAAATCTGACCATCTTCTGGAAGACCCAGAAGACGGCCCCAAGCCGCCCCTGACATAGGCCTACATGTAGGCCTACGAAGTCCATACAATAGTGCATTACATTGATTCCCCAACTTTTGTTAGACTCAGTGATATTGCATTGATTCACATTTTTTATATTCAGAATGAACTATAATTGTTAACACTGCCCAAGTCAGATCGTTCATGAGTCTTTTCGACGCCTTAGAAAGTCCGAACGTGTTTCAGTACTCTGCTATATCATATATGTAAAAGGGGATTCCCCAAGTCCGATCGGACTTAAGTCGCGCATGCTCAGTATGACCGTGAGTTTGGGGATTTTCCAAGTTCTTTCATCGGCGTGTGACGGCACAGGCATGATTAGGACTGGAGGAAATAATATGGGAAATTATGTTACGTATGAGGTTGTTTCGGACGCTCCTGGATTAAATGAGGTCTATTCAATAGTGCGTAAGATTTGAAACATATTCGTTTACATTGTTTACCTAGACTACGTCAATCAGCAGAAACTGTTCAAAACTCGGCCCATTTCAAAATGGCAAATGAGGATAGTTACTGGCCGTTAGACTTGTCTCCCCCTGAGACAGGCGCTAGCCCTCAAAGTCAGCAAAACATGTCTGAAAGTCGTCAAGCAACTCATCCAGGATTCGGACAGGAAGAAGCCCAACAAAGAAATAACTATGGCTACAGTCTCTCTCCAGGGAGTATTGCGATCACAGAAAAGGACTCGTTCTTACATTCAGTGCCACGCACACCATGTCATAGTGGCGCAGTGATGAACATTCAGGGTGCTATGCCAGCTGGATCAGCAAATGGCCAAATGTATGAACCAGCCACCCTTCCATTGTCCGGTAACAGTAGATTTAGACACGTGGTGAGCAGGCCACTTTTGCATTCATCCACAGAATTGGGAAAATTTAGCTATAGGCCCCTAATATCACCCTGAGCTTCAGAGATAACTTGACACTAACCGGTTCACTATAGCCTATCTTCATACTTGACACGATGAAGATAGGCCAGTGAAGAGGTTAGTGTCAAGTTATCTCTGAAGCTCAGGGTGCTAATATCAAATAACCTAAAATAAATCTATTTGGGTTATTGATATGAAAGGTGAACAAGTTAGAGTTTACCAAAAGGGCACCCGGGAAAATGTTGTGTGTGTGTGTGTGTGTGTGTGTGTGTGTGTGTGTGTGTGTGGTGGGGGGGGGGTCGCACCGCCGTCGTGCCAGCCTGTTGTGAAGAACTGGATCATTTCGGATCCGAACGACGAGGTTGTCACTGTGTTTTCAGCTATCATAACATCTGTCATTAAATCTTGTATGCAACGAGAGAGAGGGGGGGGGGTCCCAATATCTGAGTCGAAGGGGCTTTGAGTTGTCTCTTTTAACGAAAAGGATTTCAAGTTCAATTAGGTGTGTAAAGTAGGCCTACATCGAGATATGGGGGGGGGGGAGGGAAGGTGGAATCGCCGTCATGGTCAGCCTGTTGGGTGAAAATGATTCATTTCGTATTTTAAAACACACCGATGACGTTTTTGTCAAGCTTTCTCTGTCATTTTCCCTTCTTTGTGACAGGAGTGGGAGAAGGGTCCTCCAATTGAAAATGGTGAAGTTTGGTACGAGATATACATTGAGACAAAACGTTGATGTAATAGAAATGCATTGCCTTTGGTTGCGTTTATTTGTAGTTAAACTAAAAAGTCGAAAAAGTTTTTCTGGTCTGAGGTCATCAAGGTTTATTGGGGAACACAGCTAGTGGGCGTCTATGTAACAGAGAGTCCACCCTTCATTTAATGATATTGGTTAGTGTTAGCCTCACGTTAGTGGGTCAAATAAATGGGAACCGAACTGTCTATCATGGGGGACTCTCTGTCACATCACACCGGTGACAAAACCCGTCCAATTTATTTGTGGTAATTATTAGAGTTATTATCATTGATAATTGATGTAATTTATTATTATAATTATTCTTATCTGCATGCTTCTACCCTATTAACGTTTTATATATGTGTCGGTGTGCCTTTCTGATACTGAATGAAATTCATGTATAATGAATAAAACTATAATCCATGTCTGTGTCGAAACAGGCCACACCTTAACCGAGATGCATGTAATCCTTTCGTAACGCCCTTAAAATTGGAACTCTAAATCTTACAGCAGCATTTCAATATACAACCATAAGTAAAAAATATAAAAGGGAAAATTACAAAATTAATTGATCCCTCGATTAGACTTTGACGGAAAGTTTCCATTGTTGTATGCATACAGGTGCATTATTCATTAACTCCTCAATTTCAGGACAAGTGTACCCTAAAAAGTTGTTTATCAACAGCAGAAGAAGTCTGCCTGGACTGCTACCAGAGTGCTATATCCAAACTTTGCAATAGGTGTTTCAGACAACGACACTCAAACCATGCCCAAATCAGTACATTATCAATCAACGCATTCTTTAACATCGCCCAGACAACAACATAGGAAAGAAATGCAGTTATAACACCACTGCCACCTTCATACCGTGTCTCATCAACGGCAGCGACACATGAGAATAACATGGGGACAAGATCAGAGGCTGCTGAAGTATATAAATACATGTGTACTTACGCAGTCATGGCTTCTTTCTGTGAAGGAGTTGCCACAGTGATGTGTACTCAATGCCATGATTATAACGCTATACTGCTGTGCCACAGATGTGACCAGAGTAGGCACACAAATGACTGTTCTGGTCATATTAGGGTTCCCTTGAAACATCTGACCCAGGCAGGGTCTCCAGAAGACCTACCTGTAAACACAGACATTGCATTGCAAAATAATACACGGAGAGGTGTTCATAAATGTATTGACTGTACATCCCTAGCGGATGTGGTGTGTCTTCAATGTGAATGCAAGGCTTGCTTAAAATTTTGTCACAGACATGTTGACGAATTTCATAGAAACATACTACCAACTTTTCACCATAGGATCAAGTTGTCAGACGGAACAAGAATAGAGTCACGTGTAAACGGTCGTCCCCAAACATACATATGTCAGTGCAGGGTGAGAGTACACTGTAAAAATTTAGCTACATTGGTTTGTCTAGATAGCTTTGTGGACAGTGGATTATTAACTTGTCAGACCTGTGATGATTTCATACACGTTAATAGCTTGTCACGCCACCGAAGAATTCCAGTACAAGGGGCATCAGAGGAGCAAAGTGTGTCATCTCATCGTGGCCCTCCTCAAGGTGACATCGGTATACGTGTTAACAACGAAGAGGACAACAGCGGTGCAACGTTATCAGCACGCAGCGTGGACGCACACACAATGACGGACGCTGTTGACTGCACAAACTGCGACACCAACACCAACTCGGACACAGAAATGGAGGATGGAAGTGCGGACGAAGTCGAATCGACATACATTTGTCACTTTAAAGAATGTAAACAACAAGCTGATGTTGTTTGCCTCACATGTGCAAATAAGAAACCCCACCCTATGGTTTTGTACTGTAGTAAATGTTACGTCAATAAACACGGACAACAGAAACATAATTCCATTCAATTAAATAAAAATACCAATGAGTTAAGAGCTCAGACAAGTGCCGAAGCTTCAGTCACACCTCCAGATGAGTTCGCGGAAAACGACGAAAAAGGTGTGGTTTCTGGTGCAGGCGACCTCACAACGCCGCCTATTCAACAACCTGAACCAACTCCGCAGACATCAAATATGAAACGCCGGGCGAGCGCAGCTTCCGTGAAATCCCTATATAGCATCCATGAGCGATACGCTAAAGTGTATAAAAGAGTGACCGAGGACGAGCTAAAGCTACGGTCAGCTTATGCTAACACAGGGGTCGCAAAGCAAACTCTATTAGACAGGGTCGGGATAGCCGAACTAAGGATAATAGACCCACAAAAATACCAGGAATTAGAAGAAGAATATCGCAAGAGAAAGGCAGAAACAAGACCCACTGTGAAACAATTCGAAACTCGGTGTCGGGAAGTCATAAAAACGTGCTTTCATGAGAAAATGAGAAAGTATAGAAAGAATGGTAAACTTCTCAACCTGAAAACCACGGCCTATGACTAATAGTGATATACATGTATACTGATGTGATATTTGCAGACTTACAGATAACTATGTTAATGAATAATCCTTACTGTAGATAACGTTATGTTTGAATGATTGACTTATTAAAATACAGACGTTTACATTTGATAGCAATGCTTACATCTGCCCCTTATTTCATATCTAATCATATATTTACAATCGATATTACAACTGTATATGAATTACAACTGTATATGAATTGCAACTACATGTATATGTCTGTGTACCAGTAAATTATTTCATTTAACAGAATAATTCGCAAAAATTAAAAAAAATGTCAAATACTTAACGTTACAGAGGAAAATCCTGAACTGTTGTAAACAGTGTTTATTCATCCTACCTAAAGATGTTATATAAACGTTAGATAATGAAATTATATCAGACGAGTTGGACATCCTTTTTTTATTTCTATTGCCTCTATTACAATAATAATAATAATAATATGCTTAACGTACAATGCCTAATTTCATAATACAATAATCAACTAGTCAATTAATGAGAAGGGGCTGGTTTCACGAAGTTCTCGAAAGTTAGAAGAACGTTTATTCTCAATCGATGATGTCATGGCCAAGAAATGAAATGTGTCCGAGTAATTGTATCACTTTTATTTAAATTACAATAATGGATGCGGGTTTGAACCGTTTTAAGGCATCGTGTTCTTTTGAATTGGTTTGCCATACAAATGTGAATATCAAAACGCATCTTCGATTTTGAGTTAAATATATTTATTTTAGTTTTGTTCAAGTTAGCAATCAATATCTTTTTATTACATAAATTCGACACTTTTAACACTTTTAAGTCTTAGTTAAACGGGGATCTTGGACATAATTAAAGCCAATCCGCATTTTTATCCAAACTTACCGTAATTTAATCTATTAAGGCAATCATCAACAGAAAGAGAAACAAAATCGGTCCATAATTTAGTTTTTTATTTTTGACTATTGATTATTAATTGTTGATCCGGGTCACCATCAAAAACTAATCATCTGTTCCTCGGCCCACTTCTGACAGTTCCTGAAAATCATAAACGGTCCTTCATCATAAACGGTCCATAACTTTTTCTGTAATGTTGCTAACAGACAGACAGACAGACAGATAGACACACAGACAAACTAACGGAACCAAAAACAACCTCCTTGCTGGGATAAAAAGTGTCGCATTGTTCCACACCCAATCTGTATTTACATGTGTGGAGAAAATGTGTTGATAGTGCGACAAGAACAAGGCAAACCGACAGGGGGCCATCGGTATAGAGAGAGTGCACCTTTAAATTGAAATCTATAGTGGCCTATGAGCCTATCAGTAATCAAAGCGCATTGGGGTTCCCCAGGCTACTATGTACGATCGGGCAAAATCACTAAGAGCTTTAAGAGCTTTAAGGCCGGTGATAGGGTTAAATACGCTTAAAATCATGTTTTTGAGTTTTTTTGTGTTTATATTAATCAAAAAAGTATCTAACGTTGGATGTATCGCAAAATGTGTCTTTTGATGAGCTTTTCAACCGGCACGCGCCCCAGTCAGGCTGACAACTAAGCCACGCCTCTGTTACTAAGGGCCGTTGCCATGAGGGGGTCGGAGCACAGTTAATGAGTTATAAGCCGATTACGTGTGCGGTAATAGGTCATAAGTCTTACATCAGCTTAGCAGCGAAGACGTCTAGCTAGTACACTATGGGGAAGAGAAAAGTTCGTGTTAAAAGTCCATTTCCAGAGGAAAGAAAGAAAATTTTGAAAGAGAGTAGGGCCTAAGCGTGGCGGTTGGGGAAAACCGGCCCTATTTGTTCAGTCGGATAACTGATTTCTGTATACCTAATAAATGGGTGAAAGAGTTAATCGAATCGCCTAAATTAATTGACAAATGAAAGAAAAATCGATAAATAAATTAAAAAAAAAACGCTAAAAAGGATACTTTTAGCCTAGCTCTTAATTTTTGCGATATATATCGGGNGTGTCTGTACATAAAAAAGGATGGTGTTTGAAATTTGTAAGCTTTTACCGTACCAGTTTTTCCAGGCTTCTAGAACTTCTCTGTCTCTCTCCTCATCACTGTTACTGTTCAGGAACAGTCTGGTCAGGGTGCCCAGGGTCTGGGGAGGAAATAAGGTAATCACTCATAAAATTCGGACAAAGCAAAATAATAAGTTAATCCCCCTAGTATTATTAAAGGATGTTGTTTCAAAAGTTTGGGACAGTTATGTGACTACATGTCCCTTTAAGGGCATCTTTAGATTGATTAGAGGGACAACTAACGTGCGTAAGATATCCATATTTCACAGTCAATACATTGTAAACAACTCATAGAAATATATATTATAAAATATAAATTCTATTTTACCACCAAAATCGCAGTTAATGCAATTATTCTGAAATTTGTGCTTGCCATCACATCATGTGACCTCCATAGATGGTTACACTATGTAATAATATTTTGAAAGAATTTTACGTAAGCCAGTTTTTTTAGAATAAAAAACAGGGCCTAACTTTGAATGAGGGAATGGATTTACCATTGGTATGGGAAAATTGGGATAAAACTTACAACAAATTTAAATCACTTACAGTTTCCCCATTTTTTTCTCACATGATTATAAACAACACAGGGCCTCACCTTGGAGTAAAAGACGATGCTGGCATAATCCTTCCACATCGACACCAACAACTGGGCATTGCTGCTGACATTCTGCAGTAATCTAGACTGGAGGCTGAATCCGGTGAAGTCTGAAGTAAGAGCAATGTGTTATATAATAAGCATCACATAAAGAGTGAACCACATGTTGAACTTCAAAACCAAACAATCAAAATTGTATATCATCAAATGAGAAAAAAATTGAACCCCAGTTTCTGTAATGTTTTTATCCACACTCAAATTGTATAAAGAGATTACTAAAATAATGGCAGATGGGTTTGGATATGAGAGTAGTTATTCATAAGATTAGAGATAAAAAGGAATTGATTGCTTTTTTAAACAACGCTTCACAATAATATGTAAAACTTTTCTGAAAGATATTGAAAAGTTAGTGGGGTTCATGATCCAAAGCATTTTTCATAAGTCAATTTAAATGATAAATCTTGAAAAAATTAAAATAAAATAATAAGTGAGATGTTTTAGATATTGATGAAAAAAATAATTGACCATTCATTTTTGTGGGTAAAAACTAACCTGACAGGTTTGAATCAGCACCTTCTGTAAGTAAAACAGGTGTCCCCGAGGTCATTGAGTACACTGTGAGAGAACCACTCAGAACGAGGCACAGATACGGAGATTGAGTCACATTGTGTCTGTCTGTTATCTGTGAATACAAAAAGACATTCTAAATTATAATTAATTAAGTATAGATAGTATCATTTCATATGCCTAATTAGTTAATCACAAATGTGTTTATAATATTAAACATGATACACTTGTCAACCAATTACATATCTTGTAGAAAAAAACTGGTTAATTATTAAGATTAACAAATAAATGAAAAAGTGCTCCCATCATACAACAAAATTCATAATAAGATAACTATAGTATAGTATAAAGCATCTGGCACATTTTAGCTCTCTTTGTATTAGACTACAATTACAAGATTGTCTAAAACTTTATATATAATATATAATATCTAATATAATATAATAACACCTTAACAATAAGTTAATTAATAAATAACTGGCTTACAAAACAGTGTACTGCATCTCCAGTTTGGCACTTCCTGTACTGGTCATCTGTCAGAGGAACGTTCAGTCGAACATCTTGGACAGTCATGGTCATCAAATCCAGGCTTATCACAGTCAAATGTGGGGCTGAAATACAGGACTTTACTTACTGATACAACCACTCATGAATATGGGAGAAAGGATGGACATGTGTTCTCATTTGTACCCTTACTGAACTCCCTAAAAATTCTTTGTCTGTTACAAAAACAGATTCAAAAGCGAGACATCTTACAACTTTTTTTACTAAGTAATCAAAATTTGAAAATATCAAGAAAGGTATAGTGCCAGTTAATATGAGCATAATGAAAACAAAATAGAACGGTCAACACTGTGGCAATTTAAATTAAATTAAATTAAATTAAATTAAATTAAACAGTAATAGCCAAGCCATAAGTATCAGCTGTTGTCAGAAACGATGCTTTTGTTTAAAATTAAAAATGGAAGGCAAACTTATTCCACTGCCTCACCTTTAGTCTTGAAAGCTGGGAACAGTAACACAAACACCATTAATGTGCCATCAGGACTGGACTTACAATGCAGCAACTTGGTACAATTCACCTTAAAGAGATATGTAAATATATTATTTCCCCGACTGTATTATATTCTTTGCAAATTCAACACATGTGTTTGGTTATTTAAAGTCACCTAAACAATGGGTCAATGTGACAAATCAATATGTGTATATTAACACTGTGATCACAGGAGCATTCCTGTTCTGTGGTTCAAGTTGCACTGAGTGATGATAATGGAGATTTTAAACAACCTGACTGGCTAATGAATATATATATATATGTGTGTGTGTGTGTGTGTGTGTGTGTGTATATATATAAAATGAAAACAAAATAAGGTGCAAAAAAATAAAATAAATAAGAGAAGTACTTATATAAACCATACATTTACATAACAAAAATAAATCTTATTTCATATATGTTTTACTTTAACAATAAACTGAACATTTACATTAAATAAACTAGAGGATCAGAGAGGCGATACCGCCTCCGAATATTGTACCACCAGCTGGAGCAAGCGCTTTCGTATAGACCCNTGACAATTGGGCTTTCTGTTTTTCTTATATTGTGTTTACAGTGTTGCATATATGCTGAACAATGAAAAAACCGCATAACTACTAAAATAGTGGCCCAATCATGCTGATTTTCGAACTTGACCTGCGTTTTAGTAAGATTGATTACTCCTGTGAGTTTCATGACAACAGGCCTAACGGTTTTCCTTAAAATGTGTTTACAAGGTTGCATATATGCTGAAAAGTGAAAAAACAGCATAACTTCTACAATAATGGCCCGATCATGCTGATTTTCGAACTTGACCTGCGTTTTATGAATATTCATCAGCTCTGTAAATATAAAGCCAAAACGTAAAACTGCCTTCCACTTATCGTGTTTACAAGGAAAGTGCACGGCGCCGGCATCGGCGACGACAGACGCAGGTGATGGCAATATGTACAGACACATCTGTGTCTGTATATAAAAAGGAAGAAAAAACTCACCATCACTGGCTTATAGCAGCGTGTCCCATACGTGGACAGTAGGTTGGTATTGGTGTGTTTGATAATAATATGAAACATCCCGCCAGCTTCACTATCCAGGATGTCTTTACTGACTGGGTAGACTAGTTTCTGAATATAAGAATGGGAACATCTGTTATTTAAGAAAAGAATTCATTTTTCACTTCAATTCTTGTGAAACCAATGATAGCTGGTTAAGATTTCCAAACTGTTGTTTTTGTATAAATATTAGAAAGAAAAAAAAAACTTCTAAACTGATTTACTGTTTTAAATTCATTTATTTTGATTTATACTTAGCACATATTAATAATCAATTTCATTAAGAAAAAATCTGTGCAAGTTACTAACATTTTTGATTTAGAAAGAGAAGAAAAAAATACTTACCACTCGATCTTTGTCAGAACTGTCTGAATACCAGGGATTTCCAAGATTTAAAGACTTTATTTGTTCTTCAGCTAAAAATTGAACCCAAAATTAATACAATCCACATTATCAGTAAAAAATTTACAAACAAACTTCAGAATCTACAAAGTTTTATTTGTGAGGTCACTTTTGTGTTGAAAACACATGGCAAGTGAGGAAAAGATCTTAATTAAATCTATATTAAATTAATATTAAGGGAATTTTTTGTCTTGACAATTTTAGATATTGCCTTAAATTAATTAAAATTATATGAATGGGTATCTGTTTACCATTCTCTCTCTCCCTGGCAATTTCCTGTCTGGTTTTTCTATGCTGTGTTTGCATATCAGTGAAAATAACCTAAAAATAACAACACGATCCACTTAAAACAATTCAAATGGTTACTTCTCAAATATGATTTTCAGTCACCCACATTTCATTTAAAATCATTTTCTAAACAACTGGCTAAATAAACTTAAGTTAGCTACTGTTAAAAAATGTGTAAACTCTATCATGTCCGTCTTAACTCTATCATTCTTCAATTTAGAGGTCATAGGTAAAACTGATGTTACTCAAACCATGAGTTCATCACGAAAATTAAGGAATTGCAGAGGAAAAAAGTAAAAGAAAAAAAGGACCAATCCATTTTGAAAAGCATTTGACCTGTCAAAAAATGGGTATCCCATAAGGCATGGCAATTATGGCACTAGTGACACTTAGTGCTTAGTATGACAAGAGATCTAGGCCCCGTAACTCGAAAGCATCCAGCATTGCGACCAAGCGCAAGTGTCTCGATTCCATAATTCACCCATACTCGTCCCATATAACACACTGTAGCCTCTATGTGATATCGCTATTCGCAATACGCTAAGCTTTTGAGTTACAGGGCCCTGATCATTAGTATCAGTTGTGTTTGTCTTACTTCAGACTTTACATTTGGCACAGGTACATATTCACGTTTGGACAGCATCATCTTGTACTTCCTGTAAGGTGTGAACCAATGGAACTCGGAGAACTGCCTCCTGAAATTGAAATTTTAAATAAATAAATTTATCCAAATATGAAGCTGATCTCAAGATTTTACTTAGCCAATTGAAAGAAGATAAGCTTGGTAGGCATCCATTTCAATGAGATAGTTTCACTATTTGTTAGATCAATTTGATTGCCCAATCTTGCTACAATGCCTTTCCTCCAGTAAAAATAAGTCCTGAACAACCTGTCACACACACAAACACAGGTAACAATTACACAGATTTAATTCCTTTTCAATAATTTTGTTATCTATCCACAGTCTTTTTTGCTGTTTACACTTATCAAGTAAATTTATAACATTGCTGCTCTCACTGTGCCAGTGTATCTTTTACCTGCTATATCTCCAGACATTGATATATCCTGCCTGGTCCACTGTCACCATATTCTTGATGGTCTCTATGAAGCACATGTGGATCAGGGGTCTCCTGTGCTGGCGGAGCAACTCCCCGGGGACACCCTGACCTATGGTGCTCTTCTCTCCTTCCTCCTCCACTGGTATCTGCATGGAGATTGATAACAGATGTGTGAAACGCAGGGTGAAAACAGTGTCATGTGAAACACGGTGAAAACAGATGTGAAACACAGGGTGAAAACAGAGACATGTGTAACACAGGGTGAAAACAAATATGTGAAACAGGGTGAAAACAAGAAACGTGATACACAGGGTGAAACACAGAGCTAATATGACATGTGTAACATCGGTTGAGAACAGAAATGAGAAACACAGGGTGAAAACAGAAAAATGTGAAAGATATACATAGTTTTTTCTACTTAGTTCTATAATTTCAAACAGTCTCTAGTATAGTGTCAAAGAAATAATGCTGGCATATTGAGCAACATGCCCTCCTTGGCGGAGGTAAAAAAAAATGGACAACCCTATAGGAAATCTCCAGTTGGATTTCAAATGTTTTATGATATGACCACTGAAAATACCAGCTCAAACATTCTGTCCTAATGTAAGCATCAAGCAATTACAGTAAGTTTTAAGGGAAATATTAAACATTTCATCTGCTTAAAATTTATCAAATTCTTGTTAGAAGATATTTCAAAATGCTACACATGATTAAAGTGTCTAAAAAAATGTGACACACTTTGCTATTCTTCAAATTTATCAACTTTTAGGTAAAATTCTGAATTCAGCTGATACCATCCAGCTATCTGACAGAAATTCTACCCAAAAGTAAGCCTAGATGTACCTTTTCCTGTAAAATATTTGGCACATGTTGGAGCTCTGCGTCGGCTCCTGTTATCATACTCTCCAGGTGGCACTTGAGTATGTCACCACTGCGCAAGGCAACGCACACTTGAGACTGAAAATAATTGTATAAAATACATAATTTCATAATCTTATAAATGCTGCTTTTCACAAGATACTATTAAATCTTCCAATTTGTCTTCACTTTCATCACTGTTATCATTTTTATTATTCTAATCAAATTGTTCACAATATTTTAATGATCACAATAATTTTGAAGAAATAAGTATTTTAGAAAGACTGCATTGAATAAAAATATAAGGAGAAGAAACTATTCAATTTTATCATTATTACTGTAATTTAATTATCTTCATTATCAATTATCTTTCAAACATGACTGTCATCATCATCACAGTTGTCAGTAAAAAAATATATTATCATCAACATCATCTATATTATCAGTAGACAATAAAGCCACTGGTGCGTACCTGAGATCCCATGAGAGAGACCGCTGGGTAAAAGTCTGCCAAAACTGGACCCTGCAGGCCCTTCTGGATGTCCATTTCAAACAATGTTCCTGACATAACAAAATCAATGTGAAGTGATGAAAATTGTCACACCACTGGTTGTGAAGTCAGTTTGCACTGTGTCATTGAGGAATATGAAAATGTCAATCTTTAAACTGACATGAATAAAAAGCTCTAGGAAATTTTTTCATGGATTTTAGACCAAGGAATGTGGTGCAGTTCTTTAAATTCCCAATATTTTCTCCAAATGAACTTATCATAAGGAGAGATTCAGGCTTTTAACTTAACATCTGACCCTTATCTTTTTAATGATAATTGTTCACTATTATTTGTTCCTGTACTAAGAAATCTAACAAAATACTCAAATTCAAAGTGGTCACCCATGTTCTACCTGCTGTAAAGTTGAAGTCTCTGGAATCAGCCTGTAGTTTGGCCAGCAAAGTGAGAGGAGGCGGCACAAACATCTCTGCATCTGCCTGCAATTCCAAAGCCTTCAGGCCTGTCCTGGAGAGCTCTCCTGGAGTCATGGACCAGACTTTGACTGCCCCCTAGTGGACGAGGAAATAAGTGAGACAATTAGTATCAAGTTTTTTGTGACCTGACTGATATTTCCAAATAAAACATTAATGCTAATGTTCTACAATTAATAACATCTATAAATTCTTTACAGATACAGAAATCACATATAACTGACCTTTTTGTCAACGGTGACCAGTCGTCTGCCTGTCACACTCCATGATATGTCCACCACGACAGAATCCTCCACTGATTCATTCCTAACAGCTCGGACAGGTTTCATGACATCTCTCCTCATATCATAGACTATAATATCTCCTGGAAAATAAATTTCCTTCATTTCTGTTGTTCTTTTTTTTTTAAAGACAAAAAACACATTTTGCCAATCTGACTGTTACCACCCTTTTTACCTTAATGAAATATCATGTCTGTAACAATGGCAAAATTTGAAATACTACTTTCTCATTATACAAAAGGTGTAAGACCACTCCTAACATTTACAGGACAAGGCTAAAAGGTTTTTGATCAGTACTTATAACAAGGGTGGAATGGATACAATCATTCAGGCTATTTTTTCTATCTAGGTTGTCATTTAGGTTGAGGTGAACCATTGGGCGGGGGAAAGGGGCAGAGCTTAAGGGCATATGAACCCAAAAATGGGGGAGCTAAGGGGCTGTGCCACTCTTTTTGGACTCATCAAATAAAAAAGTGTACTTACCGTGGCCAGTTCCAACTGCCAGCAGGTTCCTGTTCTTGGACAGCTTAGCAGAATGGATTCCATGGCATTTCCTGGACAGGTGAGTGACATTAACATCTGCCACTTTTGTCTGATATATTTAGAAAATTCTTAATATGCTAAACTTGCTAAGAGGCATCAAAATGTAGAATGGAACTAAAAGGTATACAACTTAATGTCATTTCCTGCTATAAATGTTTCATTCTAAATATTTTATCCATAGAAAACAATTAGAAAGAGATTACTAAATCAAACAACCTGTTAAAAGTGGCAATAATAGACTATCAAATATGGTTTCAATTGAAAAAAAATACTTTCCATAATAAAAAGTAAAATATCTTCAAGTTATTAAAAAAGGAGTCTTATGAAAAATCAAAAATGATCTCTATATTTCAAAAGATGACATACTAGTTCATTATACAATTACTATTGAGAACACCATGAACAGGAGATATAATATCAACTTACTTTCCAGTACAAGCTCTCCACGTTTTGATAACTTATCAGGGCTCTCTTTACTGCTCGCTCAGCATCAGACTCGGAATCAATTGGTGTTACATTCTTCAGATTCACAGGCACAATGTTGTGAAATTTTAAAATAGTAACGTCATCTTCCTCTGGGGCACTACAAATAAGTAAATATTCATGTTTAGAAACATCTATAATATGGAACTATTATAAATGGTACATAAATGAAACGATCAGTTTAAGTTAATGCTAATGCTATCATTGAAAAGATCTCCCAGTTCCCAAATTTGACCAATTGATGAAATACAACTTAAGGTCACACGTTTTAAATAGTGACCAAAAAACAATGAAATTCATATTAGACCAAGTAAATAGCTAAAGGTGGAAAGAAAAAGTGTATTGAAATATGTAACTGTATACATTCAATAGCCTTCAAAGGATGATTCTAATGATTCACTTCACCTCTGTACATTAGCCTTTCCTCTAACAGTAATATTCTGCGAGTGTCCCCAAATTTCTTTCCTGTATTTGTCCCTATTCTTCTTAATCCTGTAGAAGGCCTTGGTGACCATGTTATAGGCTGGGTCGTCCTCTCCTCTCCCCTCTGGGGCACCTGTGGTGACAATCTGGAGACATGGAGACAAAGTTATTCATACCTGTATAGTCATGCCCGTCCACCCTCCCTCTCTCTCTCACCAACCCAGTTTTTACTTAGAAATTAAAAGAGGCATTTCTCAGGGACACTGCACGCAAGGCATATGAAGAACACCTTATCCGGAAGAGGGCGGTATTGGTAAGTTTTCATTAATAAACAAAAAATTGGAAGTCAAATGTTAAGAATATGGAGTAATTCAGCACTTGCCATGATGCTGTATTTACTACTCAGGAGTATTTCCAATAGATATGCCTCTGAATTATTGAACTATATCAATTTGCCATTTTTATAATAAGATAAACATACCTCAATTTGTTTCATGATCATATTCGCAGTCATCACACGTATCATCTCAGCAGTTTGTTTGTATTCTTCGGCTACCCTGGTACATTCCTCATGAACTGCCTGGAACAAAACAAGTATAACTTAATATGAAGTCAATGTATCTGTATATTTTGTTACAAAACAATGTTTATGTAAGAGTTTCTTTTAGGATTCCTATATTCCAATTTCTTAAACAAGACATCCTCCTCACAGAATGAGGCTAAAATGAAATAATGGAGAGGCAAGAACTCAGATTTCAGCTGTTGATGGAACTTTCTAGTAACATTAAAACAATCACAACAATGCACAACTAACACAATCTTTGTTTAAAAGGCCAGGTCCTTCCTTACCTCTTCCATTATCTCCTGCAAGGCATCATCTGCAACCGCCTGTACAGCAAGATAGTTCCGTGTTCTCGAGAGCTCCTTGGACTGTTCTTCCATCATTGCTCTAGAGAAATTAAATCTCAACTTCAACATATTTTCCATCATTGCTCTAGAGAATAATTTCAAAATACGATCTCTACTTCAAACGTGTTATACATGCAGGGTCTTCCGGTGCTCTTACTGAACAAATAATAATACATTATTATAAGATGCAAACACATTGTAATTATTCATAGAATTATGGGTGCCTCCATCTGGAACTGCCTGTGAACAAAAATATTTGGCAAACAGGACAACTCTCTAGGCTGTTCCTAACAGCCAGTTAGCCAGATACTGCACTTGTATTTGTTATTGGAAGTAAATATGGCAGCTGAAATGCATGCCCCTTCCCTCCATCCACTGGTGTACTAACCTGGCTGCTGTAACATTAGTAGTGGGCATGGCAGCCATGAAATACACGTCTCCCTTCCTTTCTTTCTTAGTGTACTACCCCCCCCCCCACCCCCCCATATTCCTTGGTATACTAACCTGGCTGCTGTAATGTTGGTTGTAGGTATGGCAGCCCTGAAGTACATGTCCAAGAATCGGTTCACAGTCTCGTCAACAATACTTCTCACCTGGAAGGGGGGAAAGAATTTAAATGTGAAGATCTATAATGTTTTCCAAAAGGACAGTTTATATTTCAGAGAAATATAATTTTAATTTGTTTTCAGTGGGCTTCTACTGATTCATCTTATGTTAAATTACATGAATGTTTGGTCCATAAGTTTAAACCAATTTTTAGTCTAATTTTTCTACTTTTATGACACTGCGACTGCTAAAAGAGAATCTCAATCTCTTACAGACTTACCATATGGTAGTGTGGTAGTTGCCAGTTCTGATACGAGTGAATGTCAAGTTCTCCGTTGTATGGTGCATAAAGCTGTCTTCTTCTCCTTTCCAGCTCCTGCCTTAAATCACAAAAACATCAGATTTGTTCAATTTTAAAGTAATATGCCAGAGTACTTTGGAGAGGTTTTCATGGATTATATACATAAATTGATGTTACTTGTTACAAACCATGATTATACTACTCCATGTATAACTTTTACAAAAGGACAATAAATTTGGAAGCATAAATAAATAAATAGAATGATAAATTAATTATTCAAAACAGAAATTACTTTAATCTGAGCAGTCTATCCTCTGTATCTGGCAACCTGTTCTTGACGTCTGTGATATAAGACGGCACAGACTGGACCACATTGCCAGGAATTATGGGAACCACATCCCGCTGTCTGCCACCGCTGCTGCCCTCGGACCCAGTCTCCTCTTTGAGAGTTCTCATCTTCTCTGACATCTTCTCACTCTCTGCTATCAGCCTTTCTCTTTCTTTGTTCAGCTGTCTGAATAAGTAAATAGTAAATAAATGATAATACTGTGTAAATTAGTCATATTTTACATAAATTATGTTTTTTAATTTATTGCTGGACAATTAAGAGCTGAAGTCTCTGAGAAGGAGACATAACATTGTCAATTAGACTTAATTCAGAGCAGTAATAGATTTAAAAAGTTTATTTGATTAAACTAGTTTACTCATAAATTGACAGAGAAGTGAACATGCAAATAAAGGAAAAAGAACAAATAAATAAATAAATACATGCTCACCTTATGTGTAGTGTGTACTCCTCCCTTTTCCGGGCATGCTCTTTGTTGCGACTGCTGATGACATCTTCAAGGACACGTGGGCGCGGACTGCTGCCCGATCTCACATCTATCCCTACCATTGATAAAGAGTCAGATTTGAGTTTTGACCCCTTAACTTAGTACAATAGTATCTTTGCAGGATGTCTCATTATAACTTCACCACATAGAGACAAACTAATCCCTCCATTATCCCACTAAGTATCAATTATGTATTTAACTGTACATTAGAATATGTCACCATTCTAAAAAAATAATGCAGCTCTAAGACAAGTCATCACTTACCAGCGATAAATATTAAAACGATTATAGCATTCAAATTCCTTTTGAAATTTTCTAAATAAAAAATTCCACTGAAATGATAATAACATGGTCTCAGTATTTGTTTGTTTTTTGCTTTCATTTTTACTCGAGAAATATTTCCACTTACCTACATCTGGGCTTGATCTCTCTCTTCCCAAGTTACCATTATAGCTATTGTACACATCCTGGCTCAAGTGATCCTGAAATATTCGCCATAAATATTGTGAGATTCATAAGTGATAATTTATAAATACATTATTCTATTATGTTTTAAATATAAGACATTTTTGGTTTTGTATCTAAATAGGGTGTATTGGTAACAGCCTTCAGAACTCAAACCACAAAATTTAATTTAAAAAAATGCACAGCTTTGGTACACACACACACATACATACACACTCCATACTCAAAGATCCAGCCATAGAAATGGACACACACTCACATGCGCACGCACTTATTCTGTGCCATAACAGCACACTTTATTTCACATGCATGTTTAACCACAAAGTTGAAGTTTCCATTGCAGATAGATCACTAATTACATAAAAGCCGTTTACAATGCAGATAGATGAACCCTTCTTAACAGACTGTCTGATTACACCGTGTGGGGAGTAAGTGTTTTTTCTTTGTCTCTTGAAGTTATTATAGAGGAACAGCCAGTAGTGAGGGTAATAGCAGGTGGGTGGGGAGAGGGGTTTCTTTTGGGGGGGGGGGGGGCATCATTAACAGTGAACTCAGATTAATTAGACCAATAAGTGCTGTATATCTATACAGCTCATTGGCAAAACAGTTCTTTGAGAAAGATAACACAAAGGGCGGCCTGCCTATCTTTAATTTCAACAGGGCTTCATATTGAGCACATTCCCAACAGCTGACTGACATATCTCCAGATCAAATACGACCGACCCGCTTGAATGCTTGTTGAATAATCCCCACAGGGAATCTAGATCAAGATCAAGATCAAGTGGCAAAGTTTTTAGTGGGACGCCATATTTGATCCGCGGGTCTGTTAATCTGCTGTTGTAAATGCGGTCATCGTATACATCTGTACCAAGGCTTTCTGTTCTCTTTGTCTCTTTTCCTCCCATTTCTGCAGTTGTTGTTGTTGTATTGTATGTGTCCTGAAAAGGATAAGACAAAATAATTAGACAAAAAAAAAGTTTAATCGCTTCCGCATAGACTTTTAAAGCATATTCTTATTCCTGTTGCTATCAATTTTATTTTAAATAAATCCATGATGAGTTGTAATTACAAATAACATTTTTACAAGATTTCAACATGAAAGATGAAACATACTTTAAAAGGGTCAAATTATGCTGTGAATAAAATTAACACAATTGTTTATCATTGATGAAAAACTTTCAACTGACAGAACATTCATCATGTTTGTTTCTCCACTGATGATAAAAGTAGTTTGTTTCTCCACTGATGATAAAAGTAATGTTCAAACAAGATTCATTTCAAAAGGTACTAACAGGGATTTGCACATAATCATACAGTATGGTTTTGTGTAGAAAAATAAGCTCAGCCACAATGCTGAAATAATTACATTACAAAAAATAAAAATAAAAACAAAGATATGATGTACACCGAAAAGAACGTGTAAAGCCTCTATCCCCAAAATAACCTCTAACAAGTAGCGATGGGTAAAAATGCAATCATGCTTTTTATGTCAATAGCTATTACAATAATATTGTAAATAATCATATTATGTAGAAATAAAAAAGGATGAAGTCATCCTAAACAGAGATTAATCACATGATTTGTATACATAGGATATTACAATTGTTTTTTTAAAAGCCCAAGCACATGCATACAAATTTATAGGGATACAGACAGCATGCATAGGGAAGGAAATAAACTGCCCCCTATAAATACCATACCTTTGAACTCCACACAGATATTTCTAAAAAAGGGATTTTATCAGCATTAGACATATGGCAAAAAGAAGAGGAAAGCAATACTAAAGCTGATACTTTAAAACATAGATGAACAACCTAAGTGTGCTACCAGTCAACAGTAAAGGTAAGCAGTTTAATTGATGTGACTTAGAAAAAAATTTAAAGGATTTAATTACTGGTTTAAAGTGATACAAAGTAAAACACCAGGTGGATTTGATTAGATAAAGGGTAACTTATGTAATTGGAAGAAGGCAATAAGAAAGAACTGTTCTCAGTCCTTTATCAAAGCTAAAATAATGTCCATCTATCACTGCCAAAGAGTGAAATGTTTTAAATTCCTCTAAATGTCTTGAATATAAGTTATTCCAGTTCCTATCAGAACTTCTGAATATTCTGTTCAACAGAAAAAGAATGGAAAGAATGAAGAATTTGAGGTGTGTGTGTGTGTGTGAGAAAGAGAGGGGGTATGAAAGAACCCCGTTAAAAAGAAAATAGAAGGAGTGGGAATGACATTTGATTCTCCTCTCTTAACTCACCTTCTATAAATATCTTCCTCCAATATCTGCCTGTTCCGCTGCACCTCAGCCAATCTCTGTCTCTGGGCCTCCAAATACTCCGCCTCGCTCACCTTAGGCCGACTTGGTGAGAACATTGCCAACTGTAGGGTAGGTGGAGCTTCTGCTAGTAGAACTTCTTCTTGTCTGAACATTGAAATTGAAATTAAAACAAACTACCTTTGCTACAGTATACAGTTAACTAGTTAACTGAAATGTGGGTGAAAATCAGAGTATGCAATATGGAAAAAAGCTCCTGGATTTGACCAAATCACAACAACAATTAAATTGAAAAACAGTGCAAAAGTTAAACACACCTGGAATTTCAAATTGGTACAAATAAACTAGAGAAATGTGAGGTAAAAAGGGTAAAAGTGATTGAACTGTTCACAAGAAAAATCACAAGGCGTGTACTCAAGTGTAAAAAACAGTTGCCGGCTAACCTCACGTGAATGCATGAGCTTCTAAGATGAGAACAGCTCACCTGTGATACGGTTGAGTGAATTTGTCATGGAGAACGAATACGGCGAGCACGTGGTGATATCATTTTCAAAAACGTGTCAAAACTTCTTTATAAACCGTGAACGGCTTCCTTATGGGCCCTTGCAAACTAAACTTCATTAAAATGAATTCAGTTGCCTGATGCACCTGCCCCTCCCGTCAAAAAACAAAGAAATTTCTGACCTTAGGTTTTTGAATTTCCCGCGTAATTTCTTAGGAGCCTTGTCATCAAATTAATAAAGTGTTTCAGCGAGCTAGTGGGTCCTCCGTTCGAGGCTCGTGCCTCCTCTCCTCGCACCGAGTGTCCGTATTTAGCTCTGCTCTACGCCGCCAGGTCCGCTCTCCGTGTTCACAGGTCGAAGGGTCCTTGTGTAACTGTGCGGGCGGTGGTCGTAGAAAGGCGTAAGGCAAGTCCGCACCCTTTCGCCTCGTGGATCGAAGTGAAGTTGATTTCTGCACTCCCGCCAGGTGGCGTAAGTTTGTGTCCCGTAGTTCAGGGACTGCTTCCGGCACAATCACAACACTACGACTAATGACAAGTGTTTAAACCTCGGTTATAAACCTGATAAGTCAGAGCTCTCTTGAGTTACTTTCCCAAGGATTTCCAATAGCCTGAAATAAACCAATTTAAATTAAATTTCGCCACCAGCAAAATCTGTGAGAATTTCAGTTGTTTGTAATTTGCTCTCTCCGTCGCAAGCACTGAATGCTAATAGATGTCAGCACTTTGCACCAAGACAGCCCAAATACAAAAGCTGAAAGAGCTGGGTGGAGACTTTATTAACTATGTGCAAATATCAATAGGGGAGAATAATGACGAATAATTACATAATTACAAAACACAATTCGATAGCTCGCACAAAAATTTGATGCAAAACAAAAAAAAAAAAAAAAAAAAAAAATACGTGTTTCGAGATGCATTCCGATTTAGGCACCAGATGGCGCAGTGCACGCAGTATAAACAGAGTGCTCAACCGCAAATCAACATTAGCACGTGCAGAGGTGAAATCAACCGAAGGCCATGTGGCGATTGCTGTGTTTGGCTATAGTTTTTCACCTGGCAGTGGCAGTATTTGGAGAAGACGTTGTGGTGACGACGAAACTTGGAGACCTCAAGGGACTTTCTGGCAAAGTGCGCTTTAGAGGGAAGACGCACGTGTTGAAGAAATTCCTTGGCGTCCCGTTCGCGCAACCACCTCTGAAAGAGTTGCGATTCAAGGTAAACAAATAAGATAAAAGATTGATCGTTCAGTGATAACGGTTGTATGCGCAGTGTTGTCTTTGGCATCGTTGTTTAACGCTATGAAGTTCATGAAAATTTAATTTTGATAGTAAATGAACTGGAAAGGGATATTGGGTAAGTACGTGTACATGTACGTGAAATGCTATTGAAGGTGTGTTGAATTGTTAAATGCAGACATGGGGTAGAAGGCATCCCAAAAAGTGTGTCACTTGTGACATTTTTTTCACGTTTTTTCCCAAATTAACAGTCATTTGTATTTGTTTCTGTGTTTATATGTTGCTGATATTTGATACAAAAGCTAAAAAGACCCTGCATGTTGAGCTTGGGAATATATTATTTGTAAAATCTGGTTTGAAGTATATGTTTTGTGAATTTTAAAGTAACACGCCTTTTTTTTATGATGACCAGCAGCACTATGTGCACAAATGGCATGCTGTCCTGTTGATAATCAGGTGTGATGATTTTTTTATTTAATTTTTATTTTCAATATTTTCCAACATAGTTCTGAGCTCAAAGACCTGAGCTCTGGATATTTATATATGTATGCCTAGTCTGTGCATGCATGATGATCAGTATTACTCTGTATCTGCCATACTTGAGATTCATTTTATTTTATTTTATTTTATTTTATTTTATTTTATTTTATTTTATTTATTTATTTTTTTTAATTTTATTTTTTTCTGATCTTCATTTCAAATTCTTGAATCTAGAAATCTTTGGAGATGTTTCTGATAATAAAAGGAGCCCAATCTTAAAAAAAGAAAGTTACGAAAAAAAATTATGGTGCTACCTGAGCCATGTAAGATTATGTGGTTTTATCAGTAGAGTTGCCTATCACAGAGAATGATGTAGGCTATATAGCTTTTTTTCTTTTTGAGCTTTAAAACAACGAACCCTAACTAATCTGACTATCACACTGAAATTCAAACTGTCTAGACGTTTCTGCCTACAGTGATGACTTTGGCTGAGTGAGGAATGTTAACTATATATTCCTCACTATATATCTATGGTGAGTAAGGGTTTATCATATATAAAATGGTCTTAAACTGCCAGCTGGCAATATCTGAGTTTACCTGGCTAAGCAAGTACCACTTATTGAATCTGCACTAATTTCTGTGCCCTATGAGCTTAACTTTGGCTATAGACTGTCTTATTCTGTATGTAAAACCAAACCAGGAACAGTCCAAAATAAATCTTATAATGGATTGGAAGTAAACATTGGCCCAAAGGTCTCAAATTAAAGCAGTTGTCTTTCATGTTACAAAAAAGGGAAAATATGTAGAGTATTAAATTTAATTGGACTGCTTAATTATTGTTGTTTTATCTTGGGTCAGGGTAGATAGTAAACTATTGGTTTATAATCGTTAAGACCAATTTTTAAATTGAAGTGTTTTTTTTTTCTTGTGAATAAAATGGGCCCCAGTTTCTTGCTGGGCCATTTGCGTCTGTCATAATTGCCTTAGTGCACTGCCTGTTTAATGTGCACTATGGGTTATTTTAAGTGGGGGAAGATTTATCGCAATTATTTACAATAAGACAATAAGACGCGAGGAAGTGGGGCACTGAGTTTGAAAAGAGGTAAAACTGTGTTATACCTTAGGCTCTATTCCCATACATTTTAGATCGATCTATCCCCGCGGGGAGTCTCACTAGATTACTTTCAGATAATCCGACTTAAATGTCTGTCCCGCCTACTACAAGCAGTAAGGGGGTAATTAACTTTCGTGTCCGCCGGGCTGACAGCTATTTAGTGTGAACCCCCAGGGAGTTAGGTCGATCTAAAGTAGGTCGATCTAATCTATGGAAATGGGGTGTTACTGTGCATGTGTTGGCCTCACATTTTCATAATACTAGCTGTCCCACAATGCAAAGTGTCGGCTCTAAATAAAATAATTTTAAAATATAAAAGAGTGGAAGTGGTCGGTTTTAATTTAATATGTTAGTTTAGGGCAAGGTGCAAAGGAAAGTGACTTGGTTTTGTTTTTTGTTGCCTCAGCTGTTATTTGGAAGGGAATATACCGCAGAAGCTAAGGGAGGGACGCGTGTGTGTGTGTGTGTGTGTGCATGCATGTGTGCATGCATATGCATGCCTGCCTGCTGTTCTTCTGGATCTGCCTTTCTTCCTCTGGTGCTGTTTTACGCTTTTTCCCAGCCCAGTTCCACTTTTTATATTTCTTAGCATTGAGAACAGTGTATCCTTTACTGGTATTTATCTATTAAAAGAGGGAATGTTTTTACACGTGGTATTGGGATTTGTAGATTAAATGTGAGACACAAAGAAAATGAGAAACATTTGTTTTCATAAAACCTACAGAGAAGCAGCTAAAGTTTGCCTACAGATTTAGTAGTCAGGGTTACTTTTTGGTGAATTCACATGGTGAGTCTAATCAGATATCATCTGATAATAATAGTATGACTATAATTTCTGGTTTAATTTAGACTAAGTCTGCATGCATTTGTATTTGATCATGCCCAGATGTAGGGCGATTGTCAATAAACTTCTGATTCTGATTCTGTTCTCTGAGAGTTCTGCAGTGATGTAAGTATAAAAGCTTTGCAAATGACTATTTCTGTTTTAATTTAGACCTGGCATGAACGCACCTTCAGAGATCCCTTTGAATAGGCTTAATTTGTAAGTGGCTATTGCTGGTTTAAGTCAGACCTTTTCTGAATGCGTCTTGAGAAATCTGCAGTGTTCTCAAGGGATTGACTTTGCATATTTCAGCATCTCAGTTGGAGACTAGTCTGTTAAGTTTTATAGGTAGAAGGTTGGGTAATCTTTTCTAAGTGGTATCATGGGCTGTAGGGAGGCAGAAATGTCATATGACATACTATATAGTAGCGGTTTGATGTGATGATTATATAATGGTCAGAAAATGGGGAGGTTATGCTCAGTATTTTTAACTTCGTTAATTCTTTTTCTTCGAGAACATTGCAACATATATAGGGAACTGATGTCACGTTAATTTCATTCAAGTAAGCAGATATACATACTGAGTAAATTGCAAGCAAATTCATCTTATACCCTTATCAAAACTGAAATCTCAAGAATGAATGGAAACAAAACAATCTCATTATATAAACTAAATCATTTTAATTGATCGACAGAAATAAAAAAACTTGATGTTGAATGAGGACAATTGAATCGGTTTAATGAGAACTTTTCTTCACTTTTAAAATCCACTTAAGGTGAAATGAATGGATTATAAACTAAAAAGAATCTCATTTTATAGGCTTTGTTGTAGTAATGCAACAGCAAAACAATTTATATCATTTTGAAAACTAAAAAGTTTAATATCTTAAAAGACTACACTGTGGTATACATAAATCATTCTGACAGTGTATAAATCTTCTACAATTTATTCACCATTTAAAGACAAAAAAGAGAACTATTTTGTTTTTTATGGGATCAATTGGGTTAATGCACAGAGACAAAAGTTCTGTTTATTCCTAGTGGCATAATATAAGGGAAAGAGTTCCTTTTTTGTGTTGATGTAAATTATCAGAAAGCAAAGCCAGATTACTAAGAGGACCATGACAGCTTCAAGGAATCCTTCAGCCACAGCAAGAGGTTTTTTCATTGTAACAATTTCAATAAAAAAACTTCACTGACCTTGCCATATGTAATGTTTTCTTTTTTTTTTCATCAAAGCAAGTGTCTGTTTTCAGATCTACAGTAAGATTTATAGAAGTAAATTGCCTGGTGCAGGTCTTAGTTTTGATAGAGGTGTGCAAGCAGGAGTGCTGTATTTTTTTTTTTTTTTTTGAACTGTAACAATTTTCAGCCTGTCTGTGGTGTCACTGGCAGTACATTTGTTATCAAACATAACAAGCTCAAGGTACTAGTAGCTAAAGGCAGGAGCTGAGATGGAGGAAAAAGAGTTGCCGAGACTCCACTGATTGAGTTGGAGGATTAAGAAAATGTTTCTTTTGTAACTCAGGAGATGGTGCACACAGTCAAAGATAAGGTTAATGAGAGAGGAGGCACTGGGGCACCTGTGAGAACTGGTAGTTCCCATTTCTTTAGTTTTCCTGGTTAAGCTATAATAAAAGGATGGTGCATTTATGGTTCAGTTGTGAGGACTTAACTTAGCACATCTGTCATCCTATACTAGCAGACTTTTCTCTGTAATAATGTTTTAGCTAAGCCATCAGTTGCGTATATACAGATATATGTTAGATTGTGAACTAACTTACACACTGAAGAAAAAAAAACTTCAAAAATTGGGGAAAGATGATGATGCATTCCATAGAGGAAAGGGACTGACAAATTGTGTGAAGATGTATCACGTAATTTCAGCTTGGAAATGAACTTATTTAGCGAAAATCAGGGAGCCAAATTAGTTGTGTGTGAAATGCATCACCAGTATGCAGACTGTAACAGCCAGGGAATACGTGAAACAAAATATCAAGGTTTTTGTTTTTTTAAGTTAACTTTGAAAGACTTGATGACTATTTGCCTGTCTGCACAAAAGTTTTTTATACAATTCAGATAAGTCTGTGCATCAGCAGTAAGGATTGAGATGTACAGTCAAATTACAAATGCAAAAACTGGATTAAAATAAATTTCAGTTGTATTTTACGATGTATTTTTTTTTAGTGCTTAACATCAAAAATATCCAATTTCAATTATTTTAAACAATTAATATTTTAAGCTTGGTGCCTTTTGAAAGCTTTTTGTAGATCGACCACCCCTTTGGAATATTTGATCAATTTTTAACATGATTGTTTTGTTACAACTGATGCAAGTTCCAATACAAACAGTTTGAACTTTACACATTGCTGTTGTTGTTATAACTTACTGTAATTCTCACCTTTTGATTGCAGACTAAATGCTTTAGGAATCCTGATGTATGAAATACCTTTGGACTTTTCTCTTCAGTCTTGTAAATTAGGAGATCCAAATTCTTGGAAAACAGAGCATAAGTGATATGTCTTTAAAGAAAATATGTATAACCTTTATCAGGAAATATGATTTAGAGTCACATCGTGGTAAATTAGATTATAAGCCACATGTGTTCATGTGAAGAGAACAGAGGGCTCAAAAATATTATTTTGTTGATTGCAGAAAATATTTATTTCTAAATAATCGAAAATGTGTGTTTAGACTTAAAGTACATTCTGCAGATTACTAAGAGGTGTTTCAGTTTATAAGTATTCCAGGGGAAACAAATTTATCTCTAAGCAGACGCTCATTGCTTTATCATTTTCCCCTGGGGTCCACACTTATTTCATCATGGACAGGGTAACTCTAATTGAAGGAACGGAATTGATATGGTGCCTGTCAACACTAATCACTTTGAGGGATTGAATTCAAACTATTCAATAATAAGAAAAAATAACACTGTTCGTCATTTTAGGGAATATAACATGTCAGATCTTTTCCTCATACTCTCTCGCTCTGTTTCTATAAAAATAATAACACTGTTCATCATTTTTGGGAAGCTAGTATGTCAGATTTTTTCCTCATTCTCTCTCTCTCTCTCTCAACTGAAAGCAGTGCTTATGTTTTTATTTTATTATATATGCCCTTTATTATTTTACTTTTAGCCCCCTCGTGCACCTGCTCCCTGGAAACCAGACCTTTACAATGCCACCTATTACCGTCACACCTGCATGCAGGAAAAACTGGATAGAGACGAAATGCAGAAGCAAATACCTGGCTTCAAAAACTTTAGTGAAGATTGCTTGTATCTGAATATTTTTACAACATATGATGTAAGTGCCTGTGGTGTAAGACACTCTGTATGTATACATTTTGTGGTCAATAATAGCTTTGTAATAGTAAAATTTGATGAAAAATATTTACAGTGATAATGAAAATAATATGTCACGTCACCTGGCTTTTGATATGTCTTTGAGATCATTTTCTCTTTGTTGAAATACTAGATTAATTGTTGTCAATCAACATTATACAACTAAACAATTTAAATAGAATACCTGGGCAAGTAAAAAAAAAAAAAGGAAATTGATTTTGGTGTTTTGATTTTAATAATATTAAAAGAGACTTCCAGATTGTATCACCATGTGATATAACCACATGTTCTCAGAGGACATTATCTCAATGTTTTTGCCTTTTACACCATAAAAAAGCAACTGTACTTATACACATATAAAGTCAATTACATAACAGGCTCAACTGAAACCACTCATTTATTTATTTATTTATTTATTTATTTATTTATTTATTTATTTATTTTTGATTTTACATGCAATTCCTTCACTGAGATTCAGCAGACACTCTGTCATCATATAAAATTATTCAGACTTGTAACATTTATTCATTTTGAAGTGAAGGTGTCACAAAAAAGTGGAAATTAATGTAAGTAAGATGCTTAAAAAAAGTAGCTGTAACCATAAATTCCAGTTTACAGACAGTTCCAGTTTGCCTCACCCAGTCATGGTATTCATCCATGGCGGCAGCTACGTGGCGGGGTCAGCACAGACAATACTGGGAGATGTACTACCACTGAAGGGCGTGGTCTTGGTTGTGATTCAGTACAGGTTAGGGGCTTTTGGTGAGTCTTACTGTATTTTTGTTTGATTTTTATTATTAATTTTTTTATTGTGGGCATGAAAACAACTTTTTTTTCAGTTTCACTGAAATCTCAAAATATCTTGCACTGTCCACATTACATCATGGTGATTGAAAAAAAAATAGAAATTGCTTTTTCTGAACTTGTTCTTGTAGTAAATATTCCATAGACATTGTGGGACATCTTAAAATATTGTTAGAAAATCAGGAAATTGGAGTTGTAATTGCATTTTACATTGCTCTAGACACATGTAGGATGTGTACTAGCTCTTTTGTAAAATACTCTGTTTCTTTGAGCAAAATTATGGAAGTGAGCACTTAATCAGTTCTTGCTTGTGTAAATTGTAGTTGACTGGCAGGTCCAGTTAGTATCAACTTCAAGACCTTAGCTGCACTTCTGAGTTGTTTTTCAGTGATAAGAAAATTGTGACATTAAAACTAATTTAAATACAGTTTTAAATGAATCCTTCCAAATGAGGAGGAGGTAGCAAGTCATGTATTTGGCTGTGGTCCTCAGGAGATTTAACAACAGACGTCTTTCTTATGTAACAATTTTTGCACTCAGTGTAGATGTGATAATTATTGAATTATAACACAAAGAGGGATGACCTGGCACTCCATTAAGTTTATTTTGTTCCAGAATTATAGAGAAATATTTCTGACGTGGATGGTTGATTGTTGGGTCAGTGTTTTCTCCCAGAGGCTTTTGCAACTCTGAGCATATCAGATGATGGCATGCAAGGGTTGATATTTTTCTAATTTTTCTTCTTTTCAAATTTTTCCAATTAAAGGCAAAGGTGAATGATGAGTAAATTACTGTGCTAAGGCAGTATTTGTAACCTCCTTATTTGTAACTTCATGTTTCTGGAAAAAAAAAACCAGACTACTGGGGATAAAAGAGAACTTCAATGTGACGCAAACCATTTTCAAATCACCATTAGTTAAGACATGGTGACACACCAAACTAGCAATTAAGCATCCATGGGTGGAAATTTAATATTGTCTTTTAATTCTTTTAAATATTGTTTTGTAAAATGTACTGAACATTTTAAATGGATTTAAACTTAAAATAATAATAATAACAATTATTATTATTATTATTACAGGGTAGAAGACTGTCTAAACCCCTTTCCCCACATCCCCTGTAACATATGGCCTAATGACACCAAGTCCCTATCCCTTCATGTGAGGTTGAACTTTGCAGTCATAAGTCATCAGATCTGTACTTTATCAAAACAGAAACAGTTCAATAATACCAAGATGCCTTTCTCATATTGAAAATAAATAAATAAGCCATGTAATTGAATACTGTATTGATGAATGCTGGCAAGCTGCAGTCAAGGGAATGGAGGTTAAATAAGAAGATATAATTGTCCTGTCAGCGGCAATTTCGTGCCCAATCATTGGGCTGATAGTTTGTCTCCTGGGGAGCTTTGAGTGGATAAGAGGTTGCTCTGGAAGAAACCCCGTGTTCAGTCACTGAGTACATGCTGTGCACAGTGAGCAGAATTGTCTTTGAATGTACACAATGGCATTTTTTGTGGGGGAGGGGAATCCTGAAGTAAAACAGTTGTGTTTCTTTTGTTTATTGTTGTTTTTTTGGTAGTTCCACTCCTCTGTTTCCAATGCTAGGGAAATGTGATATATTGTAAAGTTGAGTGTCTGTGATGACATTTTAGCGTTGAACCAGAATTGGAAAAATGAGAAAAATTTCTAGATCAATATGTATGTATCCATGCAGACATCAGGTTTAGAATTAAGTAGGAGCTGGTCATTAAGTAGGGGTCCAAGTGAACAAAAGATTGTCTTGAAACATGCCACATAAATGAAAGTATTTGTAATTTAAATTAAAAGCAAGAATTAAGATAAAGTTTGTAAGCCACCCATCTCCCCTTTAATTAATCTGCTACTCGAGTACTGCTGTGAATATACCGGTTAACATTTACTTTATGTGAAGTTTTTGAGAGCTTGTCAAATAATATATTCTGATGGAAAGGAATATTCTGTTTACAGATACTAGTATATTTGAAAATAGTTTGCATTCTTGAAGAAAAAAATGTAAACATATAAAAAACGTTGTTAAAGTAGCAAATACCACATCACAGACTCAAACCCTCCACTGGAGTTAACCTCAAAAGAGACAGTAGTTGAGATATGAGATAGTCCAATAAAAAGACTTAAACCAATTTTCCTGAGACATTTATCAGATTACCCATAACTCTTGATAACCAGTGATCGTTCTATTGCCCTACAAATCTAAATATTTCACATAAAAAATGCTTAAAGGGTCATTCTGTTTTTGAACTCTGTTCCTCTAATAATGTTAATGGTTACTTGCATTACTTGTATTATCCACTTTTAGTTTTTAACAGTGATAATGATTTTATTCCACAAAAAAGCATGTCATTGTGAAGACTCTGGAGAATTGAATCAGATGCTAACTGCATGTTTGAGTAGGATTCTCAAGGCAACAAAAACCCAGGCTGTTCACTTTAGCTTTCAATCTAAAAAGAAGATGTAACTGAATTTCCAATTACCTCAATATTTAACTGTAATGGCCTTAACCTTAAGTTGTCTAGACAGTTTAAAGGCCAGCTTAATGACATAACAGAGGAAAACACTGAAAATCTCCACACTGGAAAAAAATTAAATCTAAGTACAAAAAGCTTTCATTTTAAAAGGTCCACTTTTTCAGAAAAAGAGCCCCGTTTTATAAGCCTGCTTGAACTACATTGGCCAATTTCACCAAAAGGTGAAGATGCATTTTAGTCATGTGAGTAGTGCATTTTGGGTAATATTTCGATATTAGGTTTGATGTAACAATTTTTCTTTCCATTTTATACAATGAAGTACCAATAAGTATGGAAAAATTTTGCAGTTATGGAAAAGAAATATAAAACATCTTTGCAATTATTGTACAAAATTCTTGCATCATAAATCTTTTTTATTTTTTTGTGCCATTACAGACCCCATTAAAATTATCTCCAGTCAAAGTGGATTATACTTTATAGCAGCAATATCCCAGCATGCTGTCTGATAACAATTATATTTTAAATGGCAAGCACCTAACCAACTATACCTTGACTATGGTGGTATTGGGTGGGACCACAGATTTACTAGTTTTGCGGTCTGTGTTGAGGCATTTTCGTTAGTCAGCTAGCTATAACCTACAGAGATAGGCAGGACCAACTTTGTTGGAAACACCCATTAAACATTAAAGGGGTCTTACCTCAGAATTGTATCTAACTTTGTTTTACTGGCAACTTCAGGATTTACTTCAGTCTCGGAAAAGGCTGGGCTCAGAAAAAAATATTGAGATAGATTTTAATATATAGCTTTCGTCAGGGATGGAGTACATACATTTGAATCAGGAAGCTGTGTTCAGTTTTTCATTATGATTTTTCCCAAAATTTTCAAGGACTTTTGTCAACCCCCTCCCCCCTCCCCCAAAATAAAAGAAAAAGCAAGTACGTATCACGATCCTGAGTTTATTGGTCATATTGTGTCTTAATTCTATTCCAGGATTTCTGAGTACTGGTGACCATCATGCCCCAGGTAATACTGGCCTCCTTGACCAGACCATGGCCTTGAAGTGGGTCAAGGACAACATAGGTCACTTCGGAGGTGACACCGACCGGGTGACCATCTTTGGTCAGAGTGCAGGGGCCTCTTCTATTGGACTCCATCTGGTGTCGAGTAAATCGAAAGGTAAAGGCGTTGTACCTTTGTGACTTTTTTTGCTGATTTATGGTATGTTGTTGTTGAGAGAGAAATAATTAAGGGAGAGAGTAAACAGATTTTGCTTTTGATTATGGCAGTCCTTCAACAAAATTTGAAATCATTAGTTTTCTGAATGATTTTTTTTGTTTTGTTTTTGAAATTCTGAGCCTATATTGATAACATAATTAAGCATTTGTGTTAAAATAAACTAGTTATCTACTTTGTTTGAACATATCTCTTTTTTTTTTTAAAGTTTAAGCCCAAAAAATCCTACAGTTTATAAAAAGAGGATATAGCATGGTTGCACTGGCACATGTATGTGTAACATTCATTCTTGAATACTGCATTTAACCACAGGTCTTTTCCACCAAGTGATAATGCAGAGCGGGGTGGACCTGAGTCCATGGGCCATCCATGGTGTGCATAGTGCTCTCCACACCAGTCAAGAATTGGGGCGCATGGTCGGCTGCCCAACACACCTCAACGTGCTACTCGTGGAATGTCTTCGGAAGGTGGATGCTCAAGAGATTGCTGATTTCATCTCTGATGTGAGTGATTGACGGAGTGGGTGTGTTTAGATTTGCTCAGTTGATGTTTTAAAGATCAAGAGTTTATTTCTATGACCTTCCTTTTGATGTGAGTGATAGGTGCAGTTAAGGGAGGCAGGAGAAATTCTGATTATTTTGCATGTTTTACATCATCAGCTAATTCCTTTCATTTTTTAGCATACTGCAGTGCCATAACCAACACAGATGTTCTCAACTCATATATCAGTGCAATGTGATATCTTTCAAGAAAAGATGAAGAAATTCACCTGCAGTGGGAAATGTTATCACTATTAATATGTCATATTTGCTGTGAGCGGCATGCAAGAAAAAAAATCATGTTTTGTTGATTTTTTTAACTGGGTACTTGGAAGATTATGAGTTCAATCAACAGCTCCATTCTAAAATAGAGGATGGATAGTTCCTGTGTTGGAGAATGTTTCAACAGCAGGGTAATTGTGCCTGATTTAGATGTCTTTTTAGTGCATTTAATTGAGACATAGAGATGGATATATAGAGATTTTTTTCAATATTTTTAATGAAAGTTATTGATTATATATTTAATTTTAGTTTTCATTTATTTTTGCTAACATTTTAAAATGTTTGCACATCCAGGCACAATCTGTGTCAGTCACAGCTAACACAATGAGAATAAAGTCCTGATTTGATAGCTGATGCAATTAAGAGCGCGTCCATGAGAAAGCCAAACAGATCGGTCAGAAGGCGGCAAGGTGGGGGTCAGCAGATTTCAATAATTTTTGGTGTGGTAAATCATCAACATGAAAGATGTTGTGAGCCACTGGCTTTCTTCTTTTGGGTCATTGGTTTTAGAGATATGGGGGCAGTTCTTTTATTGGCAATTTTGCCAAAATATAGCATTTTTTAGCTCTTGAAAAGTTATAATTTTAAATATTCTTTTAAAAAATCATGTACATATAAGGAATTATTTAGGTTAGCCACATGATAGGTTAAGGAAAGACCTTTAATACCCAGTACAGATTTTTCGAAAAGGCACTGTCATGACCATACAAGGTTGATTCTAATTAGGCATGATTTCCGTATGCTTGACCCCCTCCCCTTCTTTAAATGCACACAACTTCTTTTTTGCAGGTTGTATCCATATAATTTTGGTATGTGCTAACAGAAAAGGGTTTCAAAANATGCCTCCCTTGCCCTTTAAAATTCGTGCCTCGAATTTTGTTACTTTTAACCTTGAATTTGCTTTTTGATGTTCTCCGATCACATCTCCCTTTTTTTTTTTTTACTAGCTAGGTTAGAATACATATAACTTCCCTCCACCTGAAAACTATACTAATATATAAGATATGAAAATATAATAATAAAAAGAAACATCATTAAGAGTACAAAATCATGAATGCTGGAACATATAGATTTGGCATATCTAAACAGTACAAATTAATTGACAAATGCACAATTTTCTTTCCATACGTAACTTGCTGGATTATACATGAACATTGTGTGGATAACAATTAACCTTTTGACTAGGAACTTTCTTTAAAAATCATGTACCATTGGACTGTTAACAACATACCGTAGTATTATACAATGTGACTACAGATAATAAGTGTATACAAGCTGCCATACAGGCATTGTCATAATGACTTTAAGATAATCATTGTGATCAACATAAACAAATACATAGTATCATATAGCGCTGCTGTTTTGAAGACATTTAATTACCACGTGTTAAAGAAAAATTCAAAAATACTGAGAAAACATAGCTAACTAATGTAAATTTAAGTTATAGAAATCAACAATGCAAATAATATATAAATGATAAGTATAGCTTGGTAGAGAATACATGTTATTACCTTAAATTACATACTATCTTACATAACTTCACAGCACTACTACACATTCACTCTTGTAAGTGGACACTAGATAACCTTGTTTTGCTTTCCCGCGTAATATGGTGAATTTAAATGCTTTCCATTATGAAGAAAAAAAATTACAAATACATCAATCTGTGATGATGCACAATAACCAAATGAGCATCAAAAGGTGATTTTACAAGTTTCATCAATTTCATGCATTTCAACCAAGAAATGTACTGGGTCGTGGGTAGGGGAATAGACGTATTGGGCAAAGAATGGGTTGTTGCGACTGCAACATCTCCCCATTCAATCACTATTTTAGGTCTCAGCCCTTTAACAATTGCCAGATTTTGAACCACAATTGTTCCTGTAACATTAAATTCACGTGGACACACGGTGACCTCACACAGGGGAATCAACATGGATACCTTGTCATTTGCAATTTCCAATGCCAGTCCATTTTGACTTCTTTGTTTTTTGCACAGAAAGAGGATTAAGATAATAAGGAGCAATATTATCATGGTAAAAAGGTAGATTGTTGGGGCCATTTCGTGGGTTAACAAATTGTATATTTCTAATTCAAGCTTGGCTGGTGGCACAGTTGTGGTAGGTTTATAAGTGAATATGGGGATTGAGTTTGCTTTAACCTGTTGAATAGCCAGAAGGGTAGTGGTCAAAACTTTGATCTTATAAGCTAAGGTGACAGAACCTATTACACATAAAGTGGACATGCCCAAAGCAACATAACCTACAATGTTATCTATTGTCAAGCCTCCATCAGGTAACTTCAAATCTCCAGATAAAAGGGGTTCTGATAGAGTTTGGAAGATTGTATTTCCCTTTTTTGCTTCCGCCATGACTTTTTTCAAGTTGAGTCGGATTTCAGAATCTTTGGTCAAAAATTTAGAAAAGTTATGGTTGTACAGTCGTAACAGTGGGACTGATACAGTTGGGACAGCATTAAAGGTGGTGTGGCCCAAAATGTTAGAGAAGTTTTGTTCATTAAACAGTTCTTGTACAACTGCTAAATTTATTGGATGGAGCACTTCAGGTTTAGAATGATTACTGTCACAAATTTGTTGGGGAGGAGAAGAGATTGAATCATACTGAACTGAGCATGAACACGGGACCTTTATGACACAAAAGTCACATCCTACAGAGGTTGTATTGGAAGGGCATTCCATCGTCAGGTTTTGTATTTTGGTAACCAACAGATGATTTTTGTCAATGGAGGTTATTTTGGGGGTAACACTGTTTGGTAAAAAGTTGAATTTGCAGAGGTGTTTGATAGCTCCTTTATCATTTTGCATTAGAGCCTTCAAACAGTGTGGTTCCCTAGATATCTTTGCATTCGGGATTTCGCATAGCATGGGGTTCTGTCCCTGGCAATTTTTTATGAAATCATTATCGAGGTTTATGTGTTTGTTGCCAGATAGACCAAAGCGTTTGGGTATGTTGCTAAGCAGGGTGGCATGGTGGTGAGTCGCATTAAGGGGGACTGGGACGGTATCTACTTTAAACACTGTGAAAGAATTCAATGAAGTTATGGGAATTTTCACTGTAATGGCAAGGGACTCATTCAATTTATGTGTTGCAATGCTACCAAATTTATAGTAATACTGTGGCTCTTGATGTATTAGGTATCCTGGATTTTTGGTCCAAAGCTCATTTTGAATTTCTTGGAGAGAGTGCGCCAAGAGGTGAGGGGGAAACAATGTGGGTGAAAGTACATTGTGGGACAGATCGTTGATGCCCATCATTGTATTTTCAATTTCGAATGTTAATTTGCTAGTAATGGTATTTAAGTGAATTAATTTGGTGAATAAGCCAAGTATAAATTCCAATTCATTTTCAATTTTCATCAAATCTCCCCCTAACATAACATTAAAATGATGATTATCATCCACTACCTTAGCTAGATTTGTCAGACGTTCTTGTTGTCCTTGAAAGATAGAACCATACTTTGAACTAAATTTGGAAAATGCGGTTAGAGCCTTCTGTTGCCTAGTTTGCAAAATGTTTATATGCTCTATTACTTTGTTTAGTTGTTCGTCTGTTGCAACTCCGAACAGACTGTTCGCAACCCTACCGATAATGGGAAGGACTGACCTCTTCCGCCTATCTCCTCCTTTAAACGTAACGTTACTAAAATTAACTTGAAAAATCTTATCCGCTCTCTTTTGTAGGGCTCTTAATTCTCTACCTGTTTGACGGTATAAGCGCATACCTTCATCTATCGCCCTATCTATTAACTTACAGGTCTTTTCTTCAAATCGCCTAGCACAGTTATAGCCGAAGCTAGACTCTAAGGGGAGGGTCGGCAAATGAACTAACATAGTGTGCAGCCAATAATCATGCACCAGCCTGACTGTCCCTTCGTTGTGAAAGATCACCCCATAGTTGATTCTGGTTTGGGCATCAGCACTGGGGATTATTATCAGCATTAGCCCGAGGGTAAAAACCACTTCAAAGGGTACAGCCCATGGTCCTGAAGGAAGAGAAATTATGAAAAGTATGAGGGGTTGTTTTATACCTATCCTTCTATAGATAAGAAGAATCTGTAAGAAGGTTGGCCAATAGGCATAAAATCAAAGATGAAGAAGAAAGTTTAGGTCAGGACCTTAAAAACTGAAACAATCAAAGGACTGCACACTTGATCATTTTAGTACGGACAATCTCACTTATGGAAGGTTGAACATAACCACAAAGATTTATGAACGCGTTACTAGTTTACGCTTCTTTTTCTTCCCTTTCTTTGTTCTATTAGTATGGAACTCCTGGATCAACAAATACGGCACTTTGTCTGCCTTTACCCAAGTGGACTTCTTGGCATTTTTCCATTTAATTCTGTACCATTTTTCTCCCTTATACCATTCATAACACAAAATTTTCTCAGCTTCGTCTACTTCAGGATTTTCATTTTCTACAATGTTTGGGGCAATGTTTTCAGTTGGGATTTCACTTTCATGACTATCATTCAACTCTTGGTCTTCTCTGTCACTGTCATTCTGATGACTGGGATTATTAATTGGGACATTTGGGGGTGGTATTGGGTCACCTGTAGGGTCATCAAGTACTACTTCTTGTCTTAGGCCTCCTTCTTGAGTGGCAAGATCATTTACTGGGACATTCTGGGGTGCTGTGTCATTAAATTTGGTCCTTATAATT